CCCTACATCTGATAAACTCGATGCTTTTCTATACCCCTATGCCAAGTCACTCCACCGATGTATGTAAGTTGATTTCCTTCGCGCAATTTATCAATCGATCGATTATCGGGAGACGATCCCATTCTGCATTGTTGCCCGAGTTTAGATTTGATGCACGTCGCGGTGCTCGATTAATTCAGACTTGTACGTGTTGAACTCATCTCTCTTGTAGCGAGATCGTGACTCGTATAACTAAAAGATCACGTACCGTGACTCAATCGGATTACTTGCGTTTCTTGTAACAAAAAAAGAAAAGAAAAAAGAAAATAACAAAAGTGGCTTGCGATTATGTGGTTTTGAGAAATAAAAAGCCGGTAACTATTCAGTATATTGCATGTAAACAAATGCAAGAATTAGATAAATTTGAATAAGTAAAGCGATGATGAAACGAGAAATGAAGATTCACGCCGGTTTATTGAGAATAAATAATGAGCGTGTATAGCGAACCCTTGTATCATAATCTTCTCTCCCGAGATACATCAATATTGCGAGAATTAATCGCTCTGCGAGAATTAATCGCTCAGATAGCTACAACAAATAACTTATTTATATGTAGCTGCGCTTGTTGAACTTTGCGAGTGGGTCAAGTTCCGATTATATCCGCGGTTATAAACTGATGAAGCTAGAAATTAATGAGATAATTCTACGAAACAGATATGCAATTTATTTAATCGTCGGCGAAGATCGAATTAGGTTCCTGGAATACGTTTGAGGAATAAAATTGCTTTATAATGAAAAGAGAAGAGTTAAACAAGGTATTTTGCGATAACTCGGACGTAATTAGACATGAAGAGTAAACCCCCCGTAGAGTAAAAGTTAATGAATAGTTTGTCTTAACGCGTATAATTGGCTAAGAGTTATGATTCGAAGAATTTAAAATAAATAGGAGGCATTTTAAAAATATAATTTATATAATTTATATTTAGTGTCTTTATTTATATAATTTAATTTAGTGTCTTTACAATATCTAAATTAAGATATACGTAATTTTTCACACATTACATATAATTAGAATCAACATATGGAGACACTTCCAATTACAATTTCTGCTCAATATTTATACCAATTGCTTTATCGCGTCTCTCTTCAAAGCGTAATTGCGCATAATATTCGTTGATCGTCATAGCCTCTATCATTCATGACTTGATTGGTTGAGAAATTTTCCTCTCAACCGAAAGCTATATACTATACAGGATGAGTCATTAAAAATTGCCATTCTTGAATTCTAAGATATCTATCTTATAGAAAAATATTTTAGATGAAAATTACTTGATTTCAAGAGAGACATTCCTTGATTAGCTCGATCTTGATCCAGATGATTTTGATATTTTAAAAGAACCTTTGTTTTTTTAACAAAAGTGTATATATTTTATATCAATCGAGATTCTCCATTATTCTACGTATATAAGTATTAAAGTAAAATATATATATACGTATATTCTACAATTAAAAATGATAAAATAAAAATGACGTCAAAACCTATAAAGCAGCATCGTATAAAATAAAATCATGCTGATAATGGAATGTCTTTTAAAATCAAGCAACTTTAATCTGAAACATTATTCTATAAAATACTTATCTCACGAATGATTAGAAATGCCAATTTCTAGCAACTCACCCTGTATAGACATATAGTCAACGCGCCCGAGGGATTCTTGCGAGCCGATTACGTTTGCCTGTCCTAAAATAAAAGCAGGATCCGCTCCGGGACAAACTCGGGATGAAATCTACGGAAGGTGAGCCTGCGCGCGCGAGGCGCAGATTAGGTCTTCGATATATGTACGTACGATAGGACAGCGCACAGTAGAAGGAGGCGCACAGGTAGAGCCTGGCGTCAACTGCTGGGGTTTGTGGTGGTTGATATCGACCCGGGTCGGAGGGTCGTGTGGCGGCCTCAGGATCGCAGGGCGCACGCCTGGACGTGGCTACTACGGGAAGAAGGAGAGCGCGGCGGCGAAAACGGCGCGACAGACGGAGATAAATATACGGGGGTGAGTGCGGCGCCAGGGAGGGTGGCGAGGAATATATCGGCGACGATGTATATACGCGACCGTGGAGGAGGTAGGCCGTGCAGAAGAGGTAGTAGCTGTCCGCCGGTAGTAGCAACCCGGCTGGCTGGAGCACCCTACACGCGGGTGCGGATGCTGCGTCCTGAGAGAAGCTCGTCCAGCGCTCGACACGCGCGCGCGCGCGGGTGTACGCGTGTATGTGTGAGTGCGTGAATATTTCGGGTGTACGCGTTCTCAGGATAACAGCCGCGTCAGCGAGCTCGAGGATCCTGAACGCGGATTCCGCGTTCGCGCCTGACTCGCGGGTCGCTTGAGACTTGAAGATTGACGAAGCAACGAGCGGGATCACTAGGGGATCTTGACAAGTTCTCCTGGGTACCACGAGGGTATGTGTCCACGAGAAAACGGTGGCGAGGTTGATCGTGCCGTGATCGGTCGATCGTCCTTATAGAGGAGAAAGCGGCGATCGCGGAGATGCGGTAGAATGTGTGATGGTTGCGTTGCGTATGTTTTAATTAACGGAAGACGACGACGACGACGACGACGATTATAACATCGACGCCATGTCGCAGCGACAGGAAACGACGAACGAGGAATCCTACCTGAACTGTGGCAGACCGTCGAATCTGCTTAAGACAAGCTTCAGCAGCGCTCGACTCGAGAAGCTATATCGCGCCTCATCTCTACAGCAGCGTCGCGGCGGCCTCACGTGTTTCCTGATGTCGGCGATCCTGTACGGCGTTTACGCGGTGGCAGTGCCGGGTATCGAGCTGCTGGCGCGTAGCGTCACCGCCGCGTTCCTCAGCCTGAACATCGGCCTGCTGATATGGGCCGAGCACGGCACCAAGGCGAGGAATTCGCTCTGGTCGGTGGTACCGTGTATAGTCGGACAGATGTGGATCGTCCACCTGCCCGCACAGCTGTTCCTCAAGTCCACCAAGGTCACGCCGAGGGACAGCCTAGGCTGGATGTTGCTGTTGCTATACTTGCTGTTCGCCAGCCTGCCGCTCAAGCTCTGCCGTTGCACGTTGCTCGCGCTCAGCAGCGTTCTCATTTACTTCTTCGCCGTGATCGGCCTTTCCAGTGCGACATTGGAGGATCTCAAGACACAGCCCATCGACGTTCTGGTAGGTAACCGCGTAAATGTCTCGTCCGGCACATCCGTCGATCGGGAATCCCGCGATTGGGTTCTCCGGGTTGGCGGATCGTTAAGAGAGGGTTGGATATGAATTGAAAGCCATCCCCTTCTCTTTTCCCTTGCTCGAGATGGTGCTCGAGAGAATCGCGCGGCGAGGGCGTCAAAGTTCAAGCACCGTTGACGGAGGCGAGCCTTCTTTCGATTCGCAAACGCGTGAAACGCTCTCGTCGTTTTAATCAATGCAAGAGCTAATCCTGCGAAAGCTCGCGTAATTTATCACATGACCTCCTCTTCCATTTATAGCACCCCTCGATAGGATTATTAAAAATAACTTAAATACTCTCATATACATCGCATTCTATATTTAATGAGTCAAGTCCCTTCAATCAGACCTAAAAAAGGCGTGATAAAACAGCGTGTTTATAGAGTGCAGATACCGTGCTATATCGATGGCTGTCTCGAAAAGAAAAGAGAGAAAACGACACTCAAAAAAGTGGTATTGCAACTACAGCAAAAATTTTCTGGGTGCGCAAAATTAACTGAGGTACATAAATGATTAGCAAATACTGTGATATCGCATATGTTTCGCATTTAATCAATCTAAGTCACAGAGACAGAATTTATATCTGAACTGTTTGTGAAATTTAGAAAGAATGTTTTTCTGTGGCGCCTATCCATGTAAGGCCAATCATACTTGTTATAAAGTTTGACTGTGGTACACAGAAAAGATTAGCGGCAAGAAACAAATGAATATATAATCCTCACATCGAACATATTTGTATAACGCGCCCAATCTATCTAGCTCTTTTAAACAATTTCTCTCAATTTTTCGATGCTGCAGTTATAATTGGCAGTTATATTTCTCACAAAGATTGTTCTAGCTGTAGTATCGAAACTCATATTTATCCAATGATTAACATTGGGCAATGGGACCTAAATTTTCTAGAAGATATTATTAGAATATTGCTGCTATAAATTCTATATGTAACAGACAATATTCTAACAGATACAAAAAATAGCGATAAATTTTTGTTGTGACACCTAGAAATCTACCTATATCAGCAAGACATTTTTTTGAGTGGATAGGGACAATAAAATCGAGTACGCACTCTCTTCGCGAGATACGAGATCGTTTTGATGTGACGCGAGCACAATCGCGCGTGACGATGTGAAAAATCAAAAGCAACGAATAGCGCCCGTATTAATTGCGTTCAAGGGATAAAACGCGACACGCACAGAGGATGGAAACAATGATATCGCCGAGGCCGACATCGACAAACTAATTCACTGCCAACCGAGGACCGACAGCGCGTGCACCAACATCGATCCACACTCAACGAAGCGTATCACCGCTACTTTTACGCGAATACGCGATAATATACGGTTGCGAAAAAAAAGAGAAAATATCAGACATATTTAATGTCGCATCTTTTGCAAAAAATTCTCTTTCACGAGAAGGAATCGAGAATCGGTAAAGAAACTAGTATAAATCGTAATGTAAAATTCATTTCGTTCCTTTAAAAAGCTATTCAAGATAAAATCGATATGTAAAGAAAAAAATTAAATACACACATGCAAATATCGCGATGGATTTGCTTTTATTAAAATGGGAGAGATGTGTAAAATGAGTAGGCTACGCGAACGACATATTTAGAAGAGACTATTAATTGCAAATTATATACTATTTCTGGTCATAACTCTTGACCTTAGACACTTTTGCACATTGACGGTGATCGCAGCCGATGCGAGTTACGCTACGTTTATCGCATCAATACATGCATCGCATTGAGATCAAGGACGCTGCAAGTGAGTTCTTCTCCGCGATTTTTGTTGGCATCCAACCATCCAGTCATCCAGTGATTCGCGATAATTTAATTTTCACCTCTTTAGTCTTTTTTAAATAAAGATATAATTATTATTAAAAAAATTATTGATTATTTATTCACTTTACATGCTAATCGTAACTCATTTATTAAAATATTTACTTTATTATTAAGGAATAAAAAAGAAATTGTCCCGCTATTGGTATTAATATTTATCAGAGATTTATATTAATTTATCGTAAAAATATTATCTATCATTTCTTTTATTTTTTACCGTAAATAAAATTGTAAAATTATTAACAACCCGTAAAAATTGATACGTCCAATGTACTGTGCTCGGCATGTATAAGCCTATAGGCTTGACTTATCGATCCTGATATGCGATGTAATATCATTGCTGAAGCGATAATAGCATTGCAGTGTATCGCCAGCGAAGTTGAATTCGTATATCTTTGTTCCTGTTGATAATAGCATCGTATATTCAATACGATAAACTACAATTTCACAGAGTCAGTTTCAAATGCTCGTGACGCAAGTCCAACGAAAGAAAGATCTTTCAGAAAACCGAGAGACTTGCGAAGCGATTGCTTCATTTTTCACTTCTCGATAGATATTTTCTCTGTGATTTGTTTTTGATCGTGAAGAGAATAGCAGGATTATATATCGGATTACACGAAGAGTACTGGAATTCAAGAGGTTACAGAATCCGCCGAGATTGTCTTACGCGAGATATCGTATTATCTTTACTCTTCATTTATTGACGGGAATTGAGCGAGAAATAAAAATTGTTTTTAGATACAATATTGAGTAACCCACGCGCGTTTGTCGGTGCGAGAAATTTTAACGGATAATTGGCTCGTCATTGATCTAGCGTAGCATTGATATAGTAAACAGTACAGGTGCATCGACCGGGGCATGCGAAACTTTTGGCAGCGGATATCGTGTGAAAGCGAAAGCTGGAAGTAGACGTGCAGACACGTGGCTCTCGTCGTTAGTAACACTTGAGTAGAGTTTGGTCAATGGTAGTTTAAAATAGAGAGAGCGCGACGGAGATAGAGGCGCGATGTAATGAGAGCGAAATGGTGTGAAAGAGAGAAAGAGCAAGAGTGTGTGAGAGAATGGAGCTGGGCAACGATGCGAGAGGTTGCCTTTCGATACGCGACGCTCAATGCTTTTTCCCCTGAGAACAGAGGACCACCCGACACGGAAAAGTGACCTTGCGATCGAGATATTGACTGTGTTTGCTATTGACGGAAACAACGTTGCGCTGCTATTCTCACTCTCTTTCAGATAAATGTAACTCTTCTACCTTCATTTTTAGTTTCTCTGATATTAAAATATTAAATGTATTATTTTCTACAGGAAAACGTTCTAAAAATATTAAGTTTTCGATTCCACAAACGTAAGCTATAAACTCGTAAATTTCTAACGATTCGTCATCTGAATTTATTAAACGTTCAAAAAGAAGCTAAATTTTTTTATCTAGCTCGCGTCGCGAACTATATTTGCAATTAAGTTTTAATAAGTATGCCTAATGAACTCGCCGCCGGTTCTCGCGTCGCGACCAGTTTGCCCTCGCATAGCCAGACACACTCGTAAATCAGCTTCGTAAAAACGTCCTGTAGATCCTGACGGTGACACTCTTTGCCGGCGCCGCTATTTTGGGTGCTTGCAGCTACTGTCTGGCCGAGTTCCAGCAGCGCCGGGCGTTCCTGGAGACCAGGCAGAGCCTGGAGGTCCAGCTGATAATCGAGGAGCAGAGCGCGGAGCAGGAACGGCTGCTGCTGAGCGTTCTGCCGGAGCATGTCGCGGTCAAGATGCGACAGGACCTCGGCGCCTCTCTCGACACACAATTCAAGAAGATCTACATGTCCAGGCACGAGAACGTGTCGATACTTTACGCCGACATAGTCGGCTTCACCGCGATCTCGTCGACCTACAGCGCCAGCGAGCTCGTCAAGATACTCAACGAGCTATTCGCGCGATTCGATCAGCTCAGCGAACGGTATTTATTTTTAAAGTTTTCATTAGAAATATATATTAGTAATAGACAATTTATGTTTCACGTTAAATCGAGAATATGTGTCTTTAATACTACTAAATTTAACATTTTACTTTTATTACATTCTTGCGTCTTTTGCTTCAGTGTTTATCGATTTTATGAGAAAAGTAATATCACGCACAGGTTGAGAAATGCTGTTCTCGTAGGTAGTAGATCTTTATCGGAAAACCATGTGTCTCAATTCCGCTAGTAATTAATTTTTTAATTATTTACGAGGAGGAATCGAATTATATGCTGTTATTAGCGAAATTGAAATATATATTTTTAAAAAACACGTTGAGATGTCATGCGTCCGTACGCCGCAAAAAAGTTCTTACGATTCTATTACCCAATGTATATACATATTAAGCGAGGCTTCGCGTGCCATCAAATGCTAATCGTAAAATGACTCAGTAAAATGATAGAATTCCGTAGCTCGCGCGTTCTATTTCCGCCCCGGGAACGAAAATTGCATGCGATCACAACGCGACGACGATTGATTCCATTTCGGGCAAATTTCGATACATTTTTGGTTCGAGTCGCGCGCGACGCGTTAAGTAGAAAATTCGGCAAAATTAACTTGAAAAGAATTAAATCGGAGAACGTTGCTTCTCGTTCGAAGCTTGTAAGCGGCTTAAAAATTCGCGCATGCGTTCGCCAAGTGTTACTCTCGGGTACTACAATTATTGATGCGGATACTGATTAGAATCGACGCTCGAGCAAGCGTGTCACTCGTGTCGACTAACATCTAATTACGCAACAAGCAAAAGCTCGACAGTAGAGGTAAAAATTATCCCCGATACATTTTTGGTTCGAGTAGCGCGCGACGCGTTAAGTAGAAAATTCGGCAAAATTAACTCGAAAAGGATTAAATCGGAGAACGTTGCTTGTCGTTCGAAGCTTGTAAGCGGCTTAAAAATCCGCGCATGCGTTCGCCAAGTGTTACTCTCGGGTACTACAATTATTGATGCGGATACTGATTAGAATCGACGCTCGAGCAAGCGTGTCACTCGTGTCGACTAACATCTAATTACGCAACAAGCGTTGACGATAAAAAATTAAAATATTTCATTGCGTGAGAAAAAAAAAGCTGAAAGCTTATTTTATATTTATGGAAAATAATTTCATCTTGAAAAGAAAGAGAAAATTGTTCTAAATTCGTTGAAATCAAATTTTTCGGATGCAAGTCGAAACGAAAATTAATCTCGATGGGCGGGGATCGACCGGGGTGATAATCCGTGGTGGCTAATTGCCGGACATCCGGCCGTCCCATTAACGGCTCAAGCCTTAAATGTGACGTCAGCGCACGAACACTCGTAGGTGGTGTTACCGACCTGAAAGGTCACGTCTCCTGGTTGACCCTACGGTTCAAGGATCCGGGAGTGGAGACGGCGTTTCACGAAACATTGGAGACCTTCTCGCCTTTGTCACTCCTCGGCGGGCCTTTGGTGACGATGTGCGCGGCCCCGGCCTGGAGACTGCAACCCTGGGGACCGTTCACGTGGGGTGGTGCCGGAGTGGTCGCCCTCTTCGGGATCGTGCTAGCCGGGGCCACTTGTCTTAGCAGCGCCGTCAGGGCAACGTGGCTCAGAAGCACTCTCACGCTCCTAATGACTTTTTCTCTTATAATTTTTCTGCTATTGGACATGGTAAGAACTCGGACAGTTGGTCTTTTAATCGATACTTGTTGCCGCAGCCTGACTGCACTGAGAGATTGTATTCATTAGCAGAAATTTAATGATGCATGTAGTCATTTGCAGTAATATTATAATCTTCAACATTATATTTTTGACGCTAAATATTAATAAGATAAGAATAAAATAAAAAATATATTCATTCCAATATTTTCATTTTCTATTTATACTTCTCATATTTTTATTTTTTAATATCTAAGAGAAATGTCTCGATCTCTAGTATGATATAATATTCTTTTCTCTTGAAATAAAAACTGAAACAGAACCATAATATTCTATATTATATTCTTTCTTAAATACTATATAAGACATATTTCTATTTTGAATATCTCCAGAAAAAAATAAATTTAATATAACATAATTATTTATGTTTAATTAATTTAATTATCACAACTATTATGTTTAATATAACATAATATTATAATATATTTCTGATATAACATAACTCTGTCCAAAAATCTCTATTCAACAGTATTCGACATTATATTCTCGACATTAAATACAAAGAAATATTTCATCATCATTTATACTTTAATATCTCAAAAAGGCTCTTTATTTCTAATACAAGTCTTGCGAACCGTTATACATTAATCTCGCTGTTCGTAGACCAATTGTGCGATCATCGATGAGGCCGAGCCGCCAAAGAACATCTCGCTAATTGTAAGCTGGCGGTCCCCGCGATGTCCATATCCTTCGTATTACTCGTACATCGGCGTCCTCGCACTGATCGCCATCTCGATGCCAACGTACTTATGTTACTTGACCAAGGCGTGCCTGATGTATTTTCTTGCCGGCGCGCAGTCCTGCATCAACATTCTGTTCCTTGCGTCGAGCCTCGACAGGGAGGACATGGAGGATATGTCTGGACGATGGGTGCCCTTCCCGCTGAAATATTCATTGGCGACCACCCTGTTTATCGTCGCGACCGCGCTGATCATCGTGGCGAGATACGTAAGTGCAAAGTGTTTTTCTAAGGAAGATCTTGAATATTCTTTTTTTAGCATTTTTTTGTAGCATCCTTTTTACGTTAGTAATGATACGTCGGTATAATGGATTAATATCGAGTACGCGATTTCGAATGACGACGTAAATTCCTGCGTGTTTGAAAAAAAAAATCCGACACGACTGTGTCGATTGCTGCAAGCTTGAATGGCTAGATACGATCGCTTTAAATTCGCATGAATCAACTTTCCGTGCGTTACAGTTACAGTAGTAAATGTAACGGCATGCGAAAACGATCCCTTGCTCCGACGACATCGACAGGCATGTCGATAAAAGAACAATCAATTCTACCGGGTTTATAAAATCGTGTCGACGATCCAATTCGCGAGAGAGAGAGAAAGCCAAGCGTCATGTTGAAGAATCAGGTATCAAGAGCGGGATCGAAATATTATTATATAAATTGGCAACGATAATGTATTTTTAGAAATCATATATATATATATTGGATGATTGCATAAGTTCGTGCCCGATTTTCATAGATGGCATTAAGTTACTGCATGGCGGAGTTCTATTGTTTTCGTGTGGTAATTGTTGCTTACACCGAATAGATGACATTGTCTTATGTCAATTTAGCGTCAGACATTATTCAGATAAGTCCATTTGTGCATAAGAGAAATCATTAAAAATGGAGAACCACAAGGTGCATTTGCGGCATGTAATGTTACATGAATTTCGGAAAGGCGTGAGTGTTGGGATTGCACAAAAAAAATATTCAAACCGTTTATTTAGACCGCGCTCCTGCTCTCCGAACAGTCAAAAAGTGGTTTGGCAGATTTCGAAATGGTGATTTCAACATGGAGGATCAAACCCGCTCTGGACGGCCTTCTGGCATTGATGATAACATTGTGCATGCCTTAGTGGAAAGAAACCCAAGGATTACAACTGAAGATATTGCTAAGAGGCTGAACATCGATAATTAAACCGCTTTTCGTCATTTAATATAATCTATTGAAGTTTATATTTAAATCGGGCACGAACTTATGCAATCACCTGATATAACTTTATTATTTTTAATATTTTAAGATAAAATTATTCTTATTTCTCATATTGTTGCAATCGCATTTTATTTTGCATGCCGTAAAAATGAGATAAACGTTATTGCAATTTTCCGAAATAATTCAGCAATCGGTATCGGGTGCGAAATAGAAACATAATCCGTTTGCGGACAGCGGCGACAACGGCCGGGTTCAATCGAGAAATTGGACCTCGAGTAATTTGCGATTTTCAAGTGGGCTTTTCATGGTACATGAATGACATTCCACTCGCCCAGCGCGATCCTCCATCCGCTCTCTGCTAAAATCACCGAGAGAAGCAAAAGCAATTTCGCGTCAAATTTTCATTCTAGACATTTCCTCTCCGCCGTCACGGAAATACAAATCCCTGCGCTCCACGAAACGAGGAAATGTAGGACAATTCGAATGAAGATGCTCTTACATAGTTTTCTTATTATCAGCAGTTTTATAATATATATTCAATCACATAAAAATATAACACAAAAATTATTTTAACTGCGCCAAGTTTTAATTCGTCAAAACTTTATTTGATCGCACAAAAATATCGAGTGACAATTTCGTTGATAAACGAATTTGTCGCAATGTCACATGCAGGCTGAGAAGGCGCGAAGAATTCTATATGTGCGGGGACGAGAAGTGATAGCACAAAGAGAACGAGCGGCGGACATGAAGCGGAGAAACGGCGCGCTAATATACAACATCCTGCCGCCTCATGTGGCCGCCTATTTCCTGTCGCACGCGAGACACTACGACGATCTCTACAGTCAGAGTTATGCCGAGGTGGGCGTGCTATTTGCCAGCATGCCGAATTTCGCCGACTTCTACAGCGAGGAGAGCATCAACAATCAAGGCCTTGAGTGCCTCAGGTTTCTAAACGAGGTCATCTCCGATTTTGACGCTGTAAGTTTACCCTCGTATATTTTGCATAGCTACGCGATACTCATCTTCTTAAAAAAGAAGAATCGGTCTAAAAAATCAGTCCAATGCTTTAAATATTTAATTTTATAAAAGAGAAAATTCGCTTTTTTGCAAACGTATATTTAACAATTTCCATAAATTGCTTTAATCTCAATAAATATTTAAATTTGTTTCGATATTTTTATTCTCGTTAGATTCTTGATCAGAATAAGTTCAAGAACATCATCAAGATCAAGACGATAGGCTCGACCTACATGGCCGCCTCGGGGATAACCGATGCAATCGGTTCGACGCAATCGGAAAACGGTCCCCGGTGGGATCATCTCGTCACCCTCGTAGATTTCGCCCTGGAGCTTAAAAAGGCTCTGTCAAGTATTAACGAGCAGAGCTTCAATCATTTTGTTCTGAAAATGGGGATCAATCACGGGCCGGTAACCGCCGGTGTCATCGGGGCGCGAAAGCCACACTACGACATTTGGGGCAACACCGTCAATGTCGCGTCGAGGATGGAGAGCACAGGGAAGGTCGGCTGTATTCAGGTACCGTGGAGATCAGAAATAAATCAATGATATATTTTTATTTTTAATTTACTTCTTTATTTTTGTTGAAAATAATCTCTGAATATGAATATTATTTTATGGAGTGAGATCTAAAAATAAAAAAATAAACTTTGCAGGTTACTGACGAGACGCGGAAGATACTGGAGCCGTACGGTTTCGGATTCGAGCAGCGAGGCCTCGTGTTCGTCAAGGGCAAGGGACAGCTCTTGACGCACTACCTCGTCTCCAAGGACGGCGTCTTTCTAGATCTGGACAGCGATCTACCCGTTGAACCCACTCATCCGATAATCTATCAATAAATGTAATGAAGGCTCTAACTCAAATTCAAAAAAATCGTTGCAAATCTCCACGGGAAACGATTGAAAAGAAGTCCCATTACAGGGGACTTAAGCTTTCTTCGAAATGTAACAGAAATTGGATGTTTGTAAGAAAAATTTAATGTCCAATCTGACATTCGTTCGCGAAGCGACGAGTGAAAAGAGAGACGAGTTGTAACTTAGACGACATTTCTATACGTCGAACGAAATTTTCTTGAAGGACGTTCGGCGAGCTAAATGTATTGTCGTAGAGAACTCTCTAAATGTTAGCATCCTCGTGTCTCTCAGATGAAAGAGATTGCACACGGAAGGAAGGACGAAAAGGACCGGATCGGGTAGGATCGATGCCTAGATCGTTTACAGCTGTTCTCGAGTGTCATCGTACGTCACCATATCATCCATCGATTAACGTGAAGGGAGAGGATATAGTTGCGTTGATTACTCGTTATCACAATGTTTGCACGCACGCGTACAAGCGGGAATCATGCGTACATGCGTACGTTTCGCGAATGGCGAGAGTGTATGAAATTCGCGTACAGGGTATATTTGAAAAAAAAAATCGAAGAATAATAGGGATTCTAGAGACATACTACAGACCGAACAAAACGATATTTTGATGTGTCGCCGTGTAAATAGCAACAGATCCGTAGGTGAGGAAACACAAATGTAATATTGTTAACAGATGTAATATAATAGCAGATGGATGTGTTTGTCGGATGGAGCATCGAGAATCAGGATAACGTAGAAAACTAATCATTTCGTGTGTGGTAAATCTCGCAGACCTAACTTCTTTCTCCAAATTATACTGACAAAAAAGAAAAAAAACTTGCGCGGATTCACGATATTAGGATTTTCATTAATCTAGGATCTTTATTAGTACAGGTAATAATTAAAAAATTCGAAAAGAAAAAGAGAGGAAGAGAATCTTGGGAAAAAGATAGAGATATTAGCAAAACGTGGTTTCACACTTTTGGTTATCGTCGACATAACGGCATAATTTTATCGTTTATCCGATGATTCGAAATCAAAGTGTCATAGCGGAACGTCGGTTTACAAAAAACTATATATTCACCTTCCGGATACACGTCATTCGTAGAGCGCACAGCCGAGAGATATATCAGAGACAGTAAATATATAACTTAATAAAGGGAAAAAATAAAAGCAACAAACACTTACACACCCTAGGGAATAGAAACGTGTGCCGCATAAAAAAAAGAAGAGGAAGAAGAAAGTAAACAAAAAAAAAAAGAAACACAAAATCGCCGATACGATAGTAATTTATTTTTCTACAGCCGCCGAAAAAGTTTATCACCAGACCAAGATTACTCGGGTACGTACGTACAACGTGTACACGAGAAAACTTAAAAAAATTTTCTACTAATTCTTTCGTTAGAAAGAATTCGTTTTTTTTTTTTTTTTGTACGACGGCACAAATCCCGATGCAAATATAATGATCTCTCCCTGCGCGTGTTCAGGAGGTATTTTATTCAAACGCTCTTGATATCAGATTCTCGTATGACAATGCAACGTACTCGTGCAATACACGGTTGAATGTAACGAAAGGGTTGCGCGAGAGAAAGACAGAGTGAGAGAGAGGGAGAGAACGACTGAATGAAAAAATAAAGAAAAAAATAAGTAGGTATCGGCCTAAGCGCAAGAGAAACTAAGCAAAAGTCAAAAATAGATCTCTTCGTTGAGTGAGAAAGAAAAGCGATTTACTTCCAAATCTTTTCACGAATTTGCGTACTTCCATTTCCAGCCGATTTCTCGCCCGCATTATCACGCGTACACGCAACACAAACACAAAAGCATGCACACGCATCGATTGACAGACACAGTGTGTCATACATACATGTGTACGTAGATCAGAGAGTATCTCTTGTAAGATAGCAATAAACGGACTCTCTCTCTTACACATACATTTGCACATACTATGTTTCCGAAGGATCGATCGATACGCGAGGAATCGGAAAAATATGATCGATATGTGCCACTTGTAAAAAGTAGATCAAGAGAAATTGATAGAAACTCATTTTGAATACTTAATTCTCGAGATTAGAGATCATATTTCAATTTTTTTTTTATTTTTTTCTTGATTTAATTCAAAAAATACAAAGAGATAATGCATTGTAAATAGGAAGATAGATAGATAGATAGATAGGTAGATAGAAAGATATATCTAAACATTTTTTAATTGATCTCTGATATCAAAGAGAAATAGATTCTATTTTACAAATTTAGGTTTCTATTATTTTCTTTTGACTTATTTGTTTATTGCGAGATTATCAAACGAGCGGATGGCGAAACAGAAAATGTAAGATGCGCAAAACGATCCGCGTATAATCGTATATAATCGTGTAAAAAGAATATATCACTGTTGATATGTTAGCAGACTTTAAATGTGACGATCGAAAAATTCGAGGGAAATAAAAACACCTGTCATAAAGCCTGTTATCTTCGTAGAAGGACAGACAGGTGGTATGTAAAATTACGCGAGGAACTCCACTCCTGCATTGACAAGATAATAAATGGCATCTACGAGAAAAGTTTTTTTTTTTTTTTTTAAGAAAGTGCTCGCGTCACTCTTTTAAAATTTATTCGCAGAGATCCAAAGGATTATTTCGTCCATTCATCCGGCTTGGAAATTTGGATCTACTTCATTTTAGACTAAAACGATCAACAAGATTTCATAATGGCATTTTGTGAAAATAGTATAAAAATAAGACAAGCTTAAGCATCAAAGGCTTGGCCTAATAAGCGCTGGTTGTGGAAGTCGCAAGAAATTTAGCACGAATTCGAAAAATGAAATTACAATCAAGATAATCTTCCCGCGAACTCGAACGTTTTAGATTCTGGCTATGAATAAACCTGAGAATTTTCTATCGGCGTTTTGGAGCAGGACTTTGTCAACTTTTAACATTCAGATGTTTCGTGACAGAGAATCAAGTCCATCTCTTAAACGCGTCTAGGATTATTACAATCAAAGAGAAGAGTAGCGAGTGTTATGACCAATCTACAATGAGTCGTTAGTCGTCAGTCGCACGCAAATTGACCACAGTTGATTATTTCAAGAATATTCTTGAAATAATCGACTGTAGTTGGTCAATTTACTTATAACTAACAACTAACTCATTGTAGACCGGGCTTTAGTATTAAACGACATTAAACATCTTTGTAAATAATTTTCGAATTAGAATTCTGTGAATTTTGTGAAAGTAAAATGAGATTGATGGAAGAAGAAGGTCTGGTTGTCTACCTCTGCGGTTACGACGCCTAAATCGAACCCCTTTGTAATTTTCGATTGTTTATAACTGCAATGTTACTAATACACCAAGCCATTAAGATTAAATTCCAAGAAGAACAAAGAGGTAAAGAGGATTGAATTATAAGTAAGATTAAGAAGATTACCGCTAACTAATAATTTTCCAGTCCTTTTATTGTTTCTTCTTTTGCGTTTTACTGGGAAGGAAGAAAAGTAATTTATCGCAAAATGGGACGATCGAGTGGTGGTAGTAGTTACAACGTTTTACAAGCATTATATTTAGCGTAGACGGGGGCGGGGAGGGAATTACAAAGAGAATCGGGGGAAACGCTCTGATACGAGAGATCACGGATTCGTATATTGGCACGACTAAAATTCAACGCGCAACAATTTTACATCGCATCGACCCATTTTCCATGGTGTACCGGCTGATAACTCTCAACAGGATACTCTGACATGAGAGGATCTCTCAACAGAATATTGTAAGTACCATAATAAAAACGTATACCGCCGAAAATTCGCGAATACCACTCTGCACGTAGTGTAATCAATTTCATTTACACATTTCACATATGTTTAATTTTTTTTCTTATTAACTATACAGTCTTTATTCAAATACAGAGAGAGAGAGAGAGAGAGAGAGAGAAAATAAGCTTTAAAAAACATAAAATATTCCATTTTCATTTCCATTTAACTTTATTATCGTTCTATGGGTCGTGATCACAATGGAGACTGCAGTGTAATTTAGGTCAGCTCTTTTCAGCCGCCCTTTTCATATTTCCGTCTCTCCTCCCCTTTTTTTCACTCTCGAAAAGTTCTACGCTTGTTTCGAGTTAGTACTAAACGCGTAAAGGACTACAGTTCTATTAATCTTTTTCTTCCAGTATAGTATTTAAAAATGTACTATTGTAGAAGATTTTTTTTGTTGAATTTTATTTCTTTTACGCCATTCGAAGATCTGAGAACCGCGGATTAAAAAGAAATTGCAAAGAATGAAAATTAAATTTCTCATCTATGTAAATTCTATCATGGGAGAGACACGATTTCTTCGTTTGATCGCAAAATTTGCGGCAGCATACATTTTGTACAATTGTGAGGTATAAAGTAAATGATCAATTTTAACTTTAAATCGCGAAAATATCATCGTCTCATCCGTTTTAAATTCGTCGCGCATAATCACACAAAGGAGATAAAGAAAGAAATTGCTTTCCTTATGCATCGTAGTGCAACAAGTTAGTATTACATATATATGTATATATGTATATATGTATATTGTACAGTACGATAGTTAAAAAAAAATAGAATACGGCACTTTCGCTATGCCATGACGCGTCTCGAATTATTATATCTTTAGAAATTTCGTTGCTTTTTCGTACAGAGCGCAACATCGAAATAACAAAGAGATACGCCTCCGTAATGATCATAAATATGTACAATATATATGTATATGTATAGTTGTTTTGTATGTATATATATAGTACTTTATTATATATAAAACGAACAACACTAGGCTGTACGAAACAAGCTCAAAGATGCTTTCTTTTGAGCGTACTTCGATTAATACGCGGGCTTAAAACGAAATCGAAACCGACCCTAGGATCTAGCAAAAATAAAGATCGTACCCTTTAGAAAATTCTTTGATGAGGAAACAGTATATAACAAGCGAGTCGAGTTTATTTTTACTTACTGACGTAACGATCGATATCAGATTTTATAAAAATACATGATAAGCCTTAACGTCGATCAACAGCCGGTTTATGCTTTGAAAACTATTTCATGTCGCGCACGATATTAGATTTCGATTTAGTTTTAAACCGCGATGTGTTTTAGACAAAGCATAGACGATAAGCGCTGTAGCTTTCATAGATTAATTTCCCACTGTCGGAAGTTGCAATTCGTTTCCGATTGGAAGCCTCGACGGTCTCGCGAGTCGCGCTTAATATTATAATTTAATTGTGCCGGGAAGGAGCGCTTCCCGGCCGATTGTCACAAAGAGAAGTTATATAAAGCACTTGAACCGTCACAAAATTCGCGAAGAGGTCACGAGATTATTCGCTCGCATACGGCGTTCGTATTGAGATGACAACTCTGCGCGCGTACAAGGCACTGCAAAGCAACATGATTACATTATTCGGGAAAAAATTTCTGGATAGTCCAGTGTTAAGTTAAATAGTCAAATAAATTATAAAAATAAATAATATAATATAATATTGAATAGATATGACACGATGGATAAAAAGTTTTTTTTATTTTGAGCAAACTATATTTGTTATATATATGTTGTTATATTCCTTTTAATTAAAAATTTTTTTAATTGGATACAAGCGAATTTTTATCCAAAACGTGAAGATTTATCAATTTTTAATAAATGGTTTAATTAAAAATAAATTTACATCGAAAATTAAACGGGAAAAATTTCGTCATTTCAGTAGAAATTTGCATTAAAAATTCGCGAAATTATATTTTAGTAATTTAAAAAATGTGGGGATCCTTTAATAGCGTTTAATTTTGCGCAAGAATCTAGATTTGAAATGCGATGTAATCGCAGTTGAAGCATCCAGCTTGTTCGCCGGATTGCATAAAGCGCATCTCTCGAATCTTATCGCGCAGAGCAGACAATTCAACGAATGGCTCAATCGTCCTCACAATCGTCGCATAGTCGCAATCCGGGATTATTGACTGAGAGCCGTCCCAGTTATCGCCTATCAATAGAATGCAGCGAAACTTATTGTTGAAGGATATTGACACGACTCGTTGAATAATACTTTAACGAGTTACCGTAACTTGAAGTATCGATGAAAAGCAATTCAGCGCGGAAACGCTGTTCTTGTCGGCGATAGAGACCAAAGCACAAATTTGTGTATCCGTTATATCGAGATACTTTAGATGGAAAGAGCTCACTCGGGATTTCAATGATTAAATCTTTCTTGATTTTCCCGTACAATTATCTCTTTCGAGAAGACATACATTTCGTTCATCGAAATCTCCTTGTCGACGCCGATATTACTTATTCACATTCATCACGAAACGTAATTATTACACGTACATCACATATACTATTTGATTCGCATACTATTTGTCGATCCAACAACGGATCCTCGTTACGATTACCTTATCAATCACGCTATTTTCATTATCCTTCTCGCGTTCCTCTGCATGCATGGCAGCGTCGTCTCCATCGCTGAAACTTTATATTAGATATATTTAATACACACATTGGTTATAAAGAAAAAGAGTAAGACGTTGTATAAAATTTTTTTACACCCTGGCTAGTCGCATCTAGGGTGAGTCTAGGGTGATATCGACTGTCACAGAGTCGTATCATCGTCTGTTTCATTCGTCTTCCGTACAAGCGTTTATTTCATAATCGGAGAACTGGCGAATGTTTATCCTAAACGCGGACCGTATCATGTAGAACCTCCGATGCTTCATATAATGAATTTCAGATCTTCCCTCAGGCTCCATCAGACGTTGCCGCTGAAAGCATCGCTGGCGTCCAGACGATTGTTATCCTGCGTCGATCCGGGATAACGGCCTGGGGCCAGCAACCAACCTCACGTCTTGGCAAACTTGTAAACGACACCGAACACCAACACGCTCACCAGCATCAGTACCATCGCGGTCACTACCTTGGCGAAGGCGTTCAGTCCGCTCTCGGTGGGCTGTTGCGATCTTCCGCTCGGCATACTCTGCTTGGCGGCGAGACCGCGCGCCAAAGCGGGGAAAGCCAGGCTCTGGGTGAAAGTCAGCTTGTGGAGGGACTCTGACAGGGAGTACGGGCCTACGGATCCGCGGGCCGCAGCCCTCAACAGGGCATACTCTAAGTCCAGAGCGTCGAACATGCTGTATCTGTGTAAAAAAAGTTGGTAGGTATAATTAATATTATTTTTTCTAATATTTTATATTATAATTTAAAAATTATTTATACTACTTAACTCTAACTGGTTTTTTTTTTATTGTATAAAAAAATAGCTTTTTTAAGAATGCTTTCGCGACTTTAGAAGTGAGTACAATAATTCCGGTATGAGTTCTCGCTTTGAGATAAAAACACGGACAAAGTGTGGCAATGAAAAGTAGACCTTTATCGAGACGATCCAATGTCTCGACCTCGCGCAAAATCCTGCGTGTTCGCTCGCGAGATTACGAGAGATTGTGACAAACAAAAAGAAAAAAAAAACGGAATTGGGACGCGATTGACCTCGGGTGCGAAGAAAAGAAAAAAAGCGATTTTCTCGAGGTCCTCGTCGTAAAAAGAAGCACTCGATATTCAAGAACCCGTACGAATGCGAACAATTACATCGATACACATGGACATACATATGGAGCGCTGGCGTTTGATATACGTCATGAGATTGTGACAAACAAAAAGAAAAAAAAACGGAATTGGGACGCGATTGACCTCGGGTGCGAAGAAAAGAAAAAAAGCGATTTTCTCGAGGTCCTCGTCGTAAAAAGAAGCACTCGATATTCAAGAACCCGTACGAATGCGAACAATTACATCGATACACATGGACATACATATGGAGCGCTGGCGTTTGATATACGTCATCGACGTATGTACGTCCTGTGTGTGTATTAACGTACATCATGCCAAGGTCGTTCCTTGACACGAGTCAAGACCGAGTCCGGCGTCGAACGCGCAGCACGCGATAGATTATTTCTGACGTCCGGATCTCTAGGTCTTCGCTTGAGTCGCGCACACGCGGCCAAGGATAAGGCCGTTTCTACGCGAGTAAATATTTGTGACGCCGATCCTTTGAGTACAAGAGATAAAAAAAGATAAGACGTCTTTTATAGTAATGCTTTGACATCAAACTTGTCGCGACACTATTTCGAAATTCTATCTCGAACTCTGCCCACTTACCATAGTTTGGATGGCGAGAGAGAAATATCGTCTCTTATTTGCCACGATAGTAAAAAATTTTACGATATTGATCTGCTTTTTATTTTATTAACAACCTACGCGCGTGCCATTCATGTGACTCGGCTATTTTATTATTTTAGTTAGTAGATGTTATTATTATTGCTTATATATATAAACATTTAAAAAGTTTTATTATAACAAGTTTGTTAGAAATAATATTTTTTTAAATATTTTGTATTTTATTAAATGTATATAAAAACCAAAAATCATTCTTCAGCAACAATTCTCTTCAAGTTTTTGCTTCTAAGCTTCTCTAATAAATTTTATATTATTTTTGATCGTTTATTATCAATCATAATATCAATTATATTTCAATGGCAAAATTTAACTTTTAAAGATGCTATTTTATAAATACTTTTATTTGAGTAACATCTTTATGTGTAATCACATCAAGCAGAAATAAAGTTACTCTTGCACACTATTAACTTTTTCAATGTTCAAGCTGTCAAACATAATCTTCTGTACATAATCTTCGCTCGATGACAGATCGTTATTTTTAAAACCAAATGTTATAAAAAAAATATACAAGTTTTTGTATTATTATATGATATAAAAAATAAAAAATAAATTACCTGCTGCTGCGTCTTCTGTCTTGTGAGTGCATCGACACGATTGCCGAGCTCGGCATTGATCGCAGGCTGCTGGTGGTCGAGCTGGAAGGACTGGGCGGCGCGGGCCGATCTTCGTGGTCCTCGTCCACGGACGTCCTGTCTGGCGACGGTGGACTCTTCAGCCCTCCCGCGTTATAGTGGTTGTGGTGAAGATAGGGAAGCTGCAGCCGCGCGTGGTCCGGATGCAGCAGGCTGGCGCGACGTGACTGCTGCGGCGTCATCGCCGGGCTGTTGCAGGTGACACCGCACGGTGACGGCGACGCCTTTAATATTAACTCGTTAATTTTTACAAATTAGGAGGTTCCCATCTCGCGATAAAATGTAAATTGATGCGTAGAAAAATGAATTTCACTAAAAGTGCAATCAATCGTTCTAGAAAGGATCTTGAACACTCTTGCATTCTTCAATAGAAATGCAATTTATGGCGTTAAAAGGCATCAGCATTGTTCGTCTGATCAATTAAAAATTATTCAGAGAGAATT